TACCTGGAGCTGGGCTGCCATGAGTCGCCGGTGATGGTGTAGGCTGTAATGGGGCTGCAGTGGGCTGCCGTGAGCTACTGTGAGCTGCCGTCCAGTGGCCGGCGAGTGACTGCCTCACCTGGGAAGAGCACAATGATAATACCAACATGGGCCAGTAAATGACGTCCTCCACAACTAGACTGAAGAACAAAAGGACAACAACTTATCTGTTCCCCTTCCCCAATTCCCCAACGCTGTTCCCCTCCCCAAATTCCCCAATAAAAAAAATAAAAACAAAACAAAACAAAAAAACTTATGCTTTGTGAAAGACAATATCTAGAGAATGATAAGACAAACCACTGAGAGAATATTTGCGAACGATACATCTGATAAAGGACCGTTACCCAAAGTATACAAAGAACCCTTAAAACTCAACAGTAAGAAAAACCGATTAAAAACTGAGCCAAAGACCTTACCAGACACCTCACCAAAGAAGACACACAGATGACAAACGAGCACATGAAAGATGCTCCCCATCCCAGGTCATCAGGAAAATGCAAGTACAACCAACGGGACACCAGAACGGCCACAGCCCGGGATGCTGACAGCACCAGGTGCGGGCGAGGACGTGGACCCACAGGAGTCTCACTCACTGCAGGTGGGACAGCAGGTGGTGCAGCCACGGGGAGGACAGCGGGGTGGTTTCTTACCAAAGTGAGCGTGCTCTCGCCTTAGGACCCAGCGACCGCACTACTTGGTATTGACCCAGAGGAGCTGCAAACTTACGTCCTCACGAAACCTGCCCACGGATGGTTATAGGACTTTTATTCATAATTGCCAGAACTTGGAGCCACCCAGATGCCCTTCAGTAGTTGAATGGGTAAATTTATCCATCTAGACAATGGAAAGAAATGAGTTATCAAGCCAAGAAAAGACATGGAAGAGCCTAAAATGTGCATTAGTAAGTGAAAGAAGTCAATCTGAAAAGACTGCTGTATGATTCCAACTCTATGGCATTCTGGAAAACCATGGAGACAGTAAAAAGATAGTGGTTGCCAGGGGATAGGGGTGTGGGGAGGGTTGAATAGGCAGAATGCAGGGTTTTTAGGGCAGTGAAATACTCTATGATATAATGATGGTTACATGTCATGATACATTTTTCCAAACCCGTAGAATGTACGACACTAACACGGAACCGTGTGGACTCTGGGTGATGGTCATGTGTCATGCATCTATTGTAACCAATGTCCCCCTCTGGTGGTAATGGAAGAGGCTGTGCATGTCTGTGTGTGGGAGACTAACGGGAACTCTGTACCTTGCCCTCAGTTTTGCTGTGAACCTTACACAGCTCTAAAAAATATAGACTTTAAAAAAAAAAGCAAAAAAAAAAACCCCACCTTCTAGAAAATAAGTCTAAAAGCCCAGATGGGTTTACTGACAAATTTTATCAAACATTTAAAAAAGGCATAAAACCAATTTTATATAGTGTCTCATATATATATATATATATATATTTTTTTTTTAACTTTTTAGAATAATTTTAGTCTCACAAGAAGTTGCAAAAATAGTACATAATAGAATTCATTCAGTTTCCTGCAGTAGCATCTTATATAATCCTAGTACATTATCAAACCGTCTTCCATATATCTTAATTACAAAAGATTATATGATTATTGTGCTACAAAAGAGTTAAAAAACATATGAAGTAAAAAAATGAAACCTGTCTCACACCCACCCCCAGCCAAATAACTCTCTCTAGGGCTGACCACTGATATTTGTTGGGCACCCCTCCAGACATTTTCTGCACACACAAAAATAAGCACAGCTACACACATGTAAATATAGTTTTATTTACTTTTACCAGAATTAGATCATTTTGTATATACACTGTTTTCCAGCTTGCTGTTTTTACTCAGTAGGATGCCATGAATCCATGGGATACTCACTTCCCTGCCCCCAAATACCAGGGTATTATTTTAGGGCCAGCAGTATTCTGTAGTGACGATGTATGGCAGCGTTTTTACTTCTTTTTTTTTTTTTAAGATTTTTTATTGGGGGAATTGGGGGGATGGGAACAGTGTTGGGGAATTGGGGGAAGGGAAACAGACAAGTTGCTGTCGTTTTTTGTTCTTCAATCTAGTTGTGGAGGACGTTGCTTCACTGGCCCATGTTGGTATTATCATTGCGCTCTTCCTGGGTGAGGCAGATCAGTCACCGGCTTCTGGACGGCTGCTCACGGCAGCTGCTGGCTACATACGGTAGCCCATGGCAACCCACTGCCACAGGGGCTGCAGCCTATGCTGTCGCCGTCGACTCAGGGCAGCCCAGCTCCAGGTTGAGCTGTTGTTCAGCATCTTAGCTGTGGAGGGCAGTGTCACTGGCCCTCATATGTGGGATCCGTACCGGGGCCCTCTGGCGTCCCAAGCCAGTTCTTAACCATCGCGCCACTCGGCCGGCCCTTTACTTCCTTTTTTTGACGAACAAGGGTATCTCCCATTATTTGCTATTACATATAATGTTCCTGTGACCTTATGGTGTTGTCAAGTGTGTTCAGGAGTAGGTTTTTTAGAAACTGTTCCTGACTTCAGGACTTGGTGCTATTAATCGTCCCTCGAGAAAAGTCTGTACCTGTTCAGCACAGACATAACGCAGTAGGCCTGACTACACAGCACACGTCAGCAACAACGTGGCTTCTGCTTTTCTGAATATTTTCAGTCTGTTTTGGCTGAGTCTGCGGATGTGGATCCCGTGGATGGGGGTGGGGGGAGAGTGGGAGGCCAGCTGTATTTGGGATTTGCAGTTTGTAATCCTGAGCTTGCTTTGTGGTGGGGAGGTCGACCTGAGCTATGCAGCGTACCCCTGCCTGGAGGGCCAGTGAGAACAGACCACTGGGGCACTAGTTCTGAGGATGGGTCCAGGCATCTGGCCAGAGCCCCCCAAGTGCCTGGGTGCCCCGCCAGCGGGGAGCTCTCCACAATCTCTGAGACTCCCTGGGGCTGTCAGGTCAGGGTTACTCCAGTTCTGTGCGGTGGACTGGGGAGTTTGGCTCTGCTCTTTGTCTCTTTAGTGTTTACTGAACTTGGGGTCAGAAAACTGGGTTTAAGTCCCTTTTCTGTTAGCTTGTTACAGTCATGTGCCTCTTAAGGAAGGGGTACCTTCTGAGAACTGTGTCTTTAGGTCACAGAGGCACTGACTACACCGCATGGTGCAGCCAACCACACACCTGGGCTGCTGGCTTGTACAGCACATCACTGTACAGAACAACACGAGATTAAATCGAGCACAGGAGGAAATGATGCAATTAAGAGAGGCGGCGAACATGAGATGCACGAAGTGCTGTTTTCAGCACAGTTTTTGTAATCGTAGAAAGAGTAGTCCACTGTTCATGATAAAAAGTGTAGTAAATGCATAAACCAGTAACATAGTTGTTTATCGTGGAGTGTTATGGACTGCAGGAAATTGTGTGTGCTATCCTTTTATTCGACGGGAAACGGGCTTGTGTACACCAGCGTCACCACGTCAAATGAGTGATGTGTTGCACTGCAACGTGACGACCCCCTAGGCGACGGGGATCATTAGCTCCATTGAAATCGTGGGGGACTGCGTCATCCGCGGGTCTTCTGGCGACCGAAACGTCGCTATGCGTGCGGGGCATGACTAGTCTGGTGTCTGGGTTCTGTTTGGAAGTTCTGCTTTGCTCTGTGTGAGTGGAAGCCTTGCGCTCAATGCCGTGTTGGGAAGGTGGCTTGGAGGCCAAATGAGGGGAAGACTGACGGGCTTCAGCGAGACAAGCTCTGCGGGGCTGCCTGACTGAGGGATGCTGTGGGGGCACTGAGGCAGCCTTGGGGGCCCAGAGTCCCTGCCTGCTGAGGGCAGGACCCGGTGCTTCCCTGACCTCAGGCGTCCCTGATCCCACTGTGCTGTCCGGCCAGAGGCCTTCGGTGAGGCTTCACCTAGTGTCAGGCTGCAGAGCTGTGGGTCTCGTGACAGCAAACCCTGCAGTCAGAGTTCATCTAAAGGAAGTGTTTGGGGGAAAAAAAAATTAAAAAAAATTAAATAAATAAAGGAAGTGTTAGGTGAAGCCCTCAGTACGCGAGGACTTTGCTGGGCGAGGTGGGGAGTGCAGAGCCCAGGGCTGAGAGGAGGGCTTGCAGAACATAAGAAGCTTTCTTTCCACTGAAGACAGTTCACCAAAGAACAAGCTACTAGTGGAAACGGTAACACACATTTCTGGTCTAAATAAAGCCCTCAGAACGTGACAGACAGTGCAAACGCCCAGGTGCTGCCTGGGAAAGCACGTGGCGCCTGCTCTCAAGCTGTTTCTGTGAGGACACGTTTCCCGTCTCGTTCCTGGATGGTTTCTCACCTCTGGGCTGTCCCGTGTCATGTATGAGAACAGCAGTCCTTCTGCGTCCTCACCAGGGGCCCCCGTGGCCCCCGAGGGCTTGTTTCCTGTGGGCCCCTCGCCCAGGGCCTCCACCCCAGGAGCCTGTGTCAGTGTCACTAGGGAGTCTGGGGAGACTGCAGATTCAGTCTGGACATGGCCTCGTACTCTGCATTTCTGACAAGCACCTGGGGTGCTGATCACGGTTTTTAGAAGTTGAACGTTATTTACATAGAGTAAAACCCACCCTTTCTGGTGTGCAGTTCTCTAAGTTTTTGACAAACATATGGCCGTGGGACTAACACCACAATCAAAACAACAGCTTCATCGCTGCCCAAAACCCCCCGTCCGCCTTTGGAGTCACTTTCCCTCACTCCTGTCCCCTGGCAACCACTCTCTGTCCCCATAGTTTTATCTTTTCCAGAAAGTCATATAAATGAAGGACTCAGTATGCTGCCTCTTCGTCGCTTAGCAATATGTGTGTAGGTCTGTCCAGAGTGTTCCACTCAGCATTAGTTGGTTCCTTTTACTGCTCCATTCTGGGGGTATGTCATCATGTGTTTATCCAGTTGAGTTGAAGGACATTAGTGGTTGCAGTCTTTCCATTGTGAGTTAACTTTTAATTAAAAAATGTTAGTGCTTTAGAAGAGTTATATTTCTCTTTTTCCATTGTTGTCTTAGGTGACATCACTCAAAAAGGATATGAAAAGAAAAGGGCAAAGCTGCTTGCACGCTACATCCCACTCACTCACGGTAAGGTTGACACATCTGATTGTTTTGTAACAGATTAAATGAGACTTGATTAAAAATTGGCTTTAGAGTTTAACATTGCTGTGTTTCCTGTTTTATTAAGATAGTATGTATAATATTAAATAAAATCCAGAGGCATAGATTATAATTTACAGTCTGGTTTGGTACAGATCTCATTCCCAAATAGGATTTATTTTATTTTAATGAATGTAGAACACGAATGTTTTTAGGATTATAGGAAGGAACATCCTTACTTAGGTTCACAACGAATATTGTAAAGATGTCAGTTCTTCTTGCCTGAGATCTGTAGAGTCAACACATTCATCATTGCAACAGATTGAGTGTGTGTGTGGAATTTAACAAGGTAATTCTAAAATTTATATACGCGTTTAAGGGAACAAGGGATTCAAACTAGGCCCAAAGAAGAAGCATGAGTCGGAGCATTTGCCCTCTAGGACAGGAAGAATTAATGCCAGGCTCTCGTCAGTCAGAGTGTGACGGGGCACAAGGGCAGACAGCTGATAGGCAGGGCAGGGCATGGGGCCCAGACACCAAGCGCATGCTGCAGGGACCGGTCTCACGGCGGAGCAGCAGCGCAGGTCACATGCTGGCCCGGCTCCTTATCCATGTGGAAGATGCGCGGCATGGGGCACAGGAGGCCCCCTTCCAGGTGTGTTATGCCCAGTGGGGAAAGGCCAAAGCTATAGCAGCTTTAGGAGATCTTACAGAAAAATTGTCACCGTCCTGAGATAGGAAGGACTGCCTCAGTCACCAGAGGCACCAGGAAGCAGCAACCATAAAGGAAAAGATCGTTAAATCAGACTGTGTTCAAATTGAGGATTGCATTTTGTCAGGACTCACCAGGAAAAGATTGAAGGCAAGCCCCAGAGTGGGAGGGGAGGGTGTAACACAAGTGCAGGCAGAGCCACCTGCGGTCATGGACACCTCACAGCTGCAGGCCCAGCGCACTGACCACTGGCCCCAGAGCGTCTGAGCACTTGGCACATGGCTAGTAGTGAGGGACTGAATTGTTCATTTCATTTTGATTCATTGTAAACTCAGATAGCCAGAAAGTCCCCAATGTGATTAGAAATCAAACAAGCCCAGTAGAAAAATGGGCTGAAGACCCAGATAAGCGTTTCATAAGCAGAAACCCTAGTGGCCAACAAGCAAACGGAAGGTGCCCAGCCTCAGCAGTGATCAGAGAAATGCAGGTTAAAGCCATACCGTGCGGTGGGCTGTTGGAGAGGATTCTGACAGTGAGTGGACAGCTGGTGTGACCTGGTGAAGGCGAAGAGGTCAGCGGTGACCAGCAGCTCTGCCCCCGCTCCATGCATGTCCCGAGAAACTCTGAAGTTTCACCGTGCTCTCCAGCATGCACTGTGTCCTGCCGGGAATGCGACACTGTCAGCAGAATTCACCTAGCGGAGAGCGAGAGACCTACGTGCACCCCGAGACTGAGTCCCATAGACACAGTGGGGAGGGAAAGGGGGTCACCAGTGTAAGTGAAGAACACGCCCAACGGCTTATTTGGGGACCTTCACTAGCTGCTGGGAGAGACAAGGAAATGTTTTCACTGCAGTCAGTGAGCGTCCCAGGGGCTCCTGAGGCCCTGGAGTCGTTCGGTTGATTGTTTTCTGTATTTGGTCCTTAATGGAGCACATGCCTTGTGCTGCCATGTGGGTATGATACACTTTTCAGTCAGCAACAGAAGGAATAGTGGGGAGGTAATCTTCAGACACTGACATTCACTCATCCAAATAAAGCAGAAATGTGCTGAACACAATTGGAATTGAAAGGCACGATGGAGATGCCTGACAGCCCGTTTGCAACTGTGGACCGCAGCCGTCACACTAACTGGTCACACATGACAGCGTTTCCGCCTCAGGCACGGTGAGATGGCAGGGCTCCCTGCCCACTCTTAGGCCGCCTTATCTGCAGCCACTGCCAGTGCAGCGCAGTGGGAAAACAAAGCAGGGTGGACAGTAGAAGACAAAGGGTAGTCACCTTCACTTAGATAGCATGATTTTGTGCTCTGAATACCCATGTGACCTCTTACCTAACTTAGAATTGGTAAGAGTTTTTGGTTTATGATAAGACAAATATGCAAGACCCTGTAGCCTTCCTCTCGCAGTATTCCTGTTAATGAAAAAACTCACCTTTATATGAGGTGTGATAAAAAATGACAGTGAATGTTTAAATAAAAAAAAAAGTATTGCCACTAATCCCCCTCAGAGTACGCCTCCTCGCTTCGAACACACTTATCCATCATTCTTGCCACTTTCTGAAGCAGCTCTGGAAGTCCTCTTTCGTGAGGGTCTTTAGTTGCGCTCTTTAGTTGTGGCTGCTTCGATGTCCTGAATCATTTTGACTTTGGGGAAGAGCCAGATCTGGTGAATAAGGTGGATGAGGACACACCATAATGTTTTTATTTGACAGAAATTGCCGTACCAGGAGGAATTTGTGACACAGAGCATTGTCATGATGGAGGATGATTTATGGCAAAGTTTAAAACACAACTTCTCTCAACCATAGCTCACACCCGACTGACTACACCGAACAAGTTGAAACTTGTCACACAGTTACTAAGGTTCAGAGCGCTGCTTCCTGTACTGAAGATCCTGCCTTTCCCTTGGATGGCACTCGGCAGCAGCATTCACCATATTGTTTGATCACAACGGAAAGGTATGCCAATTTCTGTTAAATAAAAACATTACGATGTGTCCTCATCCACCTTGTTCACTGGATCTGGCACTGTGCAACTTCTGGCTCTTCCCCAAAGTCAAAATGACTAGGAAACGTAAATAATTTGAATCAATTCAGGACATCGAGGCAGCCATGACAGCGCAACTAAAGACACTCACAGAAGAGGACTTCCAGAACTGCTTCAGAAAATGGTAAAAACAATGGGATAAGTGTGTTTGAAGCGAAGGGGGGTATTTTGAGTGGGATTTATGGCAATGTGTCTTTTACTATAATAAATTTTTTGTTTAAACATTCACTGTATTATTTGATCACACCTCAAAGTGGCAATAAACTGTCAATTGCTTAGCCATATATTTAGCAAGAAAGCCACAGAACCTGTATTAGGATCATAAAATCTATATGAAAGAAAAAAACCAAGACCATAAAATAGAAGAAACCCCACTTCCCTAAATAGAAAAACTTTATATTATAAAACTGGCAGTTTCTACATTAACACGTGACCATGAAGTATAGTCCAGTTTGAATTCCAGGGGCTGGTTTTCCCCAACCTGCGATTGGAAATAATAACCCATTGGAAGGAGAAGAGTTCTGAGAGTAGCCCACACTTTTTTGAAAAAGAGAACTAGTGATAAAGAGCTGAACCTGGGTGCACTTTGTAGGCACAGCAGGATGGTCTGGTGCGTGGCTGGAAGGCCCCCCTTCTGGGGAGAGGGAGGTCTAGGTGCCTCAGGAGAACTCCGGGGCGGGCAGCAGAGCTGGGTCCTCCTCTTCTCCACCCGTGAACACGGACGTCAGAAGGACTACTACTCTAACTGTGTTTGTGATTCTGAGGTAAAATTCAGGAGGGTGCTTGAGTAACCTTTGAGTGGGGCTTACAATATTGGGGGCCTGGAGGTTAGAAAGGAAAAGAAAAGCAGGTGTGACCAGTTCCCTGGAAAGAAAACATTCTGGACACCCAACCCAAGCTGGAGGCAGGCACAGTGCAGGGTGGTGTCCCCAGCGGTCCAGGGCTCGTGGGGGGCTCTGAGCTGGGGAAAAGGAATAGAAATTCAAAGAACAGGAGCTACGGATGGGCAATCAGCATTAAATTATGTTCAGCCCACTAGTAGATATGGAAATGCAAATTGAAGTGAACCATTTTTCTCCTGTCAGATTGGCAAAGTTCTAAAACTTTCTAGAACATCCAGTGCTGACAGGATGTGGGGAAGTGGCACTTTCATACGTTGCTTGTGGGAGTGCGAATGGCTGTAACTCTTTTGAAAAGTTATCTCTTGCTATCTGTTAAAATTAAAAATATACCTACTGTTTTATCCAGTAACTTCACATTGGGTTTTATATCTTTGTTGAATAAGTGAGGCTTTCTCAGAGAACCGGGCTGCCTACTTGGAACGTATCAGGGCGTCCACACACGAGTGCATGGGGGCAGCACGCCTATTCATAGCACAGCACGTAAGGCTCTGTGCACCCCACCCACGCTGAGTTCAAGTGTGTACCCAGTCACGAGTGCTGTGGCCAAGCGCAGTGCAGCTCGGTGTGGCTATCTGGGTGCGTGTGCATGTGTGTGTGTGTGTGTGTGTGTAAACGTGTGCCCTGGGTGCTGAGATTCTGAGGAGCACACATTGATGTCTGGAGGGGCTTCCCGTTCTCTGGCGCCACATACCTGACCCAGAACCTGGTGCCGAAAACCACAGTGACAGCGCCTGTTCTGCTCTGGCATCTGCCATTCGGCCAGGCTCGGGCTGCCCCGCCGCATCCATGGAGCCAGCACCACCGTCCTGGGGGCCTCAGCCACGGCTGTGGTGTCCATGCTGGGAGACAGCTCCTCGCTGCCTCTGTCTCCCTCTGTCCTCTCAGTGTGCTGTCACAGAGCCAGGTGGGAGCTGTGTCCCCTTTCATGACTGGCCTCGAAGTCACACAGCGTCACTCCTGCCACACTGTCCGTTGGGCAGTTGCTGACCAGCAAGGTCCAAGGCAGCGCTAGATGCCTCTTTTGGAGTGATGAAGGCTGGAGGGGGGGACGGGCAGAGACGCTTTGATGATTTTGCTGAAGCACAGCTGAAGACTTTACTTCATGCCAGTCTCATTGTTACAGATGGGGACTCAGACAGCCCCGAGGATTGTTCTATGAGCCTGGACGCTGTACCCCATTCGTTCACTCACCACCCTGTGTCCTGAGGGCCTGTGTGGTCGGGGCTGTGACATGAGAGCTGGGGGCCTGACCTCAGAGTGTGGACAGCTGTCACGTGTCGGGTGTGGCCACCGAGCCCTGCTCCACTGCCACCACTCTCACTGTGCCTGTCTCTCCTCTCTCCGCCTGTCCACTGCCTGTGGACACCCTCACGATTGCTTAATGGACTGTTTCTCACTGAGTGTGCTGACAACACGGGCAGTGCCAGGAAAGGCGACTCAGGGCATTTCAGACTCTGAAGAAAAACACTGCCAAACGGCCTCCCCTAGAGGGTCTGCCTGGCGGCCTCACGTGTGGTGCCCAGGGCTTGGGGATGGGCATGTGATGTCACCTTGCAGACGGCATTGTGGGGAGAGAGCTGGAGGTGAAATTTCACGTCCTCCTGGACCTCCAAATTCTGGGGTGTTCTGGGCTGCAAGGGTCCGCACAGGGCTCATGTGCTCACATCATGGTTTTCGGTACAGTGTGCGCTGTTTAAAATGGGTTTTCCATAATTGGAAAAGCAAATGGTTTACACAGGTGTTGCTATAAAATGTGTTTCAGGAGTGGACCCGCCCCTCCCAGCAGAGCCTCGGACCCCGGGGCCCTTGCAGAGTGTGGCCGCAGTGCCCAGGCAGCAGAGGCTGCGCCCCGCCAACTCCCGGGACGAGCGCTTCCGGTCAGGTAGGGACCGCAGCGCAGCCCTCCGCTCGGACTCCGAGTCTTCAGTTCTTTTTTCCTTCCTCGAAATGTCTGCTGAAGAAATTATTTTCACTGGAATGGTAATTTACTACATCAATGTTTTTAAGAAAAAGTTCAGCCTTCACACAGCACAGTGTGTGTTAGGGAGCCTGTGGAGTCAGAGCTGTCCTCTTAGGGGATACTCACAAAACGTCCCATCAGCACGATGTGTTCAGACGCTTTGTCCATTGCCCTGTTAGGGCTTTGGGGCTGCTGTTCACAGATTCTGTACGTTGTGGGGCAGCTGCATTACTGTGCTGTTCAGTGTTGTTTTCTGTTTCTAATTTTGGAGATTTCCCTCTAATTAGGTTTCTGCTGCTTTGTCAGTGCTTTTATGAGTTTTTAAATTTGTCTCTGACGTCTTATTTGAATTATCAGAACACACATTGAAAAATGCATGTTTTCAAGCATAGATTACATATCAGTAACTTTTGAGCACGCTCTTCCACCTGTTTAACATCTTCTCCATTGTGTGATTGTATATTTCCTTTATATTTAAGCTCTTTTGATAGCTTTTTTTTATAAAGAAAAACTTTCAACAGAGATGAAGCAATGGCCAATTTGTTTTAAGAATATCTAAAAAGAACATTAAGATTTTAAATGTTATATCAACAAGGGAGTGTGAAATTTTTGATCGGATAACTTTTTACCAACTTAACCATTTAAAAAAACTGTCACAGCAGTAATAGTTTTTGTTCTGGTGATATGAACAGTATATGTAATATAAAGTATGCCAAGTTCAAGGACAGAAGTAAAACTCACCCAGACTCTGAATCCTGAGACAGCTGCCCTCGGCATCTCACGGTGCACCATCTCCGTCAGCCCTGTGGACGAGTGCGCAGCATGCACTGTGTCCGCGACGGGACCCCCGAGTCCCCTCACCTCCCGTCTCCCGTACTGCCTGCCCCGCCCTCCCCACCATCCACTTCCATACAGCTGATGAACTTGATTCTAGTTCTCATTCTTTAGTTTCTGAATACAAGACCTTTATTGTAAATGTGGTGTGCTAATATTTTCTCCCAGGCTTTGTCTTGTCTCTGCGTTCTCTTGAAGTGGCTTTTGAAGAGCAGGAGTTTTTCATTTTAATGAAGTCCAACTCAGGAATTTTTTTATCGATAGTCCTTTTTGTTCTTGTGTCTAAGAAATCTTTGCTTAACCCAAGGTCACAGAGTCTCACCTGCGTTTTCTTCTGGAAGCTTGGAAGCTTTATAGTTTTAAGGTTTTACCTTTAGGTCTGTGATCATCTTTTAGTATAAGCTCAAGGCACAGGTCAAAGTGCACTTTCTGCGTGTGGACATCAGTTTGTGAAGCATACCCTGTCTCTGCAGCTTTGTCGGAAAAAGCAAAAAGCAGCCACGCACGCACGGAGCCATTTCTGGACTCTGTCCTGCTCTGTAGATGTCTCGTCTATCTATATGGCAACATGCACCCTCAACGATCGTGGCTTAGTAATGATCATTGAAATCACTAGTCCCCCAGCTTTGTTCCTGATTGTTTCCATGTGTGCACTGTGTCTTTCTTCCTCTGTCACTTGGAAGGAGTTTCTCTTTGTCACTGGTTTTGAATGGTTTGGTTATGACGTGCCTTGCTACAGCTTTCTTTGTTTCTTGTGCTTTGTTGAGCTCCTTGGATCTGTTGGTTTATACCTTTATTGTGTTGATGTTGTCTAGATTTTCAGTCCAGGGTTGTTTTACCTGTATTAACGCTTTTGTTTATTCTAATATAGCCAGATAGCTCAGAGTGTGTGCCCAGCCACTGCTGCATTTGTTTCAGAGGCCCCTGGATGTGCCTCTCTCCCGAACACCTTCCATGAGTGTTTTCAGTAGTATGTATGGGAGTATTTTATTAGTCCCTGGTGTTTAAATGGTAATCTGACTGGATATAAAATTTTAGGTTCACCACCTTTTTCTTTGATACTATGTTGCCTTCTTGCACCTGGAGATTACTGTTGAGTAATGTCGGTTTGTTTCTTGATCCTCGGAGATAATTTACTCTTTCTCTCTGGATGCTTTCAGAACTGTCTTGTAGCCTTTGATGTTTGTGGGTTTTATTTTAATAATTCTAGGTGTGATGTTTTCATCTTTCTCGATTAGCACCCTATAAGCCATTTCATTGTAAGGTTTTAAAATGTTTTAAAACATCTTGTTGGAGAAAAGTTTTACATATATAGAAGTGGAGGTAGCAGTGTGTGATCACCCCTGAGCCCCCTGGCCAGCTCCCCAGTGCTCAGGCTTGGATCCGTTCGTCTACAACCCTGCCCCCTCCTTCCCTTGTGACTCTGAAGCAAATCTCAGTGATCCTGTTACTTCATTTAGGTGTCATGATATTCTTGGTCTCGGTATCTGAAAATAGATGTATCTAGCTGAAAGGTAGTACCAGTGTCACAAAATAATTAGCAATAGTTCTTTAATATCAGATATCTTAATGTTCATATGGCTTTTTAAAAAGTTTATTTGGACACAGGACCCAGAAAGATCTATACCTCACAAGCGGTTGCTGTGTGTCACCAGTTTTTCTTACCCTGGACCCCTTCCCTCCAGTCTGGCAGAGCCTGTGCTGCGTCTGCCGGCTCCTCTGTGCTGGTCCTCAGCTCCCCAGCCTCCGTGAGGGTCAGGTTAGGGTTTCCAGTGGTTCATAGGATTTCTTCAGAGATGCCGTTGTGTTCTTCCATCTTTCTTCCTGGGAATGTTGGCAGCCAGTGATTCTCAGTTCTTTTATCCATTAATTCATTAAAGTTGCAGAATGTTCCAGCGAAACTGATCCTATCACGCTCCATCCAAAGGCTGGGACGCTTCTGTGCAAGAAGCCCCACTCATGGTCTGCGTGGTACAGGAGAGCCCGGACAGACTCCGTTCTTTCCATTTATTTACTCCTCTCCGAAGAACCGGTGTGGTCTGGCTTCCTCCCATGGCAACCCATTAATTTTAAACCTCTGTTCCTTCAGTCCTTCTTTCATCTTGTGTTTCAGTGTCGTTTTGGTATTCAGTGCATTCCAGCGTTCGCCCTGATTGATAGTCACACTGTCCCCTCCTTACCACTGGGACATCTTCACATCGGGTGCACAGCTGTGGGAGCTGTTGGGTCCTGTCCTTGTCGCTCTAGCGATGAGACGCTGCAGGCTCGGCTGTGCGCTTTCTGCCCCCGCCCCACGTCCGCCGTTTCTGAGGGGCCCTCAGTGAGGGTTCATTTTAGACCACAGTCTGAGTGCCAGGGATTCTTGATGCTATTGGCTGGTCATTGTTTCTAGACATTTTCCACGGACAGAAGTAAGACATAATATTTAAAGACAGCATACCATTGTGCTCATAGATCTGCTCTGCTGAGATTCAGGACTGTGGAGTGTTCACTTCTTTCATCTCCATTGGGTCTCCTCGAGTGTCTCGGTTCCCAGGGACAGTAGAATAAGACTGTCGTGCCACCCTTCGCGTGCTGTGTCCCACTCGACCTGCACACACTGCAGTGTGACCATGCCCTCACCGTCACCAATGGTGCCTGCACAGAGCTGAAGCTTCTCATGTATGGCCTGTTGTCCTCAGCAGGTTTCTCTAGAAGAACAGGCCAAGCAGTCCAGCCACAGTGTTTTAAGGTCATCTGGATTAGTTTATGCCCAACACCAAGACACACTCAGGTTCATTTGCTCATCTTATTTTCAGCTTGGGGGATTTCACTTTTTAGTTTTGACCTATAGCCGAAAATATTTACATGGTTCCAAAGTCAAATGTACAAACAAAGAAGTGTTTAAAGAAATGTGGGACCAGTGTGTAGGCAGAGGCTGAGCATGTGTTCCCTTTACACCCGATGAAAATAATGAGCACCATGAAACTTAACATTGCCACGCCACACGTGATGCCAGGAGGCGTCTCACTGCTGCTGTCCCTGCAGATGTTCACACGGAAGCCGTGCAAGCAGCTTTGGCCAAGTACAGAGAGAGGAAGGTGCCGCTGCCCTCGAAGAGACGCTCTGTTCTCGTGCCTTCGTCTGCGGAAGCCTGCACCCCTCCAGGTAGGACGGCCAGGGTTCTGCCCACCAGGCATGACGTGGCGCGTTAAGTTTCACGGTTTCCGCTTGCTGGGTGTCCGCCTGCTGGGTGTTCGCCCACCGGGTGTCTGCCCACCAGATAGGAGCCGGGTAGGACAGCCAGGATGTCCGCCAGGGTGCCCTGCATTAGGGTTTCGGAATTGTTCTCATCTGATTAGTGTTACTTACCGTGTAGTTACCAGGCCCTAACTGGGTGAGGACGAGGCCACCTGGTGGGCTCTTCAGGCTGGTTTTGTGGCTTGTGTTACCTTCATCATCAAAGTGCGAACTTCCTTCTGGAGCTTCTCTTAGGCGGTGAGGTTTCTCGTTTCCCACTAAACCGCCCACATGTTGGCATAATGGCCTCCTCTTGGGCACTTAAGTCATGAAACTGGTGACTAAGAACCAAACACATCAGATTCACAAGATAAGTCAGTGCTTTGGGTGTTGCTTCCTTGCTTAAAAAAAAAAAAAAAGTTCATACTGTTGAAAAAAATCTTACATGGCTGTTAAATTATTTTTTCTACTGAGAGTAACTATAGATGGTACCCAGTTTTTAAAGAACTTTGAAATCATTGTGAAACCTATAGTGAAATGCAGTCACTTGACCAATGGAGCCTGGTCACTGAGCTCTGCCGACTAAAACGGCTTCTTGGGGAGGGACCCTCTCAGCTCATCCCTGCCCCTCAAGAGTTCACCACATCACTCAGGGGCGAGCTCGGCCTTCCCTCAGTGTTGCCGTGGGGGGAGGCGCTGTGGGTTCAGCCCTCGGGGTCCCCTGTGATATTTGGGACCCTGCCGAGGGACATGCCGGGGCCGGCTAGCAGCTGGGCTGCCCTCACTCCCAGTGTAGGGCGCCCCAAGACAGAGTTGGGGGAAGCAGGGTCATGAACCAGTTTCCCGGGCGCGGCCCTTGGACCTTTCCGGAGGTTGGTGCAGGCCCTCTGGGTTGAGGCGACCTTTGAGATGATCCCGGGCCGCGTATGGGCGCAGGTTGTGGGTGCACAGGGCAGGGCAGTGTGGGCTGGGCCGGTGCCAGTGTGGGGACCGCTCCCTCTGGGACCGCCCTGCATCATGCCTGTCGTGTTACTTTAACCACAGACACATCGTCTGCCTCAGAGGATGAGGGCTCTTTACGGCAACTGGGGCGACTCCCACCCACTGCGCTGCAAAGCCGAGCCGGCACTGAGCCCTGGCCCGAGCAGGCAATCCAGGGCTCGTCCACCTCATCGTCGGCCTCCTCCACTTCGTCTCACGCGGGAGGGACACCCGCCACCCATGCCCACCTAGGTCAGTACCCGCTGCCGCAGTCCCTCCGGTTCGGGGGCCCCTTCGCCCATCAGGAACCGCCTTCTCATTTCATCTGGAAGAGGGCTGCTTGGTAACAAGAGTAGTTCTTGATGCTTCTGGGGTTTGGTGTGTGGCCCGCCCCCCGGACCCCAAGAAGGAAACGGTGTCTCTGGAGGGTGAGGCTGCACAAGTGGCAGTGCAGGATGGACGCCCACTTTGATGTGACCGCATCTGTTCCTCGTGGTCCCCTGGCAGCAGCCTCCTTGTCACCTCTGACTTTGCAGTTAGCTATGTGCACGGCTGTGGGTCCATCGTCGTTCCCCGAGCCCAGCTGTGTACATGGCCGTGTTCCATCAGTTGTCGCTGAGCCTGGCTGTCCTGAGATGGGGTTGGGGCTCAGGCGCCATCTGGCCTTTCTCACTCCACACACCCAGGGAAACCCCCTCAACCTGAAGAGGGTGTCAGCCAAAGCTGAATCTTAAAGATGTGTGATCTTCTCCAGTTATCCAGTCCTGTCAATTACATGAACCTTGGAAAGGAAAAGATTGCAACCCTTTCATTGTCTGACATCACATTTAAACACAAATTCTGGGGTAGTTAGCCGAGCATAGCTGACACGCGAAGGCCACAGACACTTTTGCACGAGTACCTTAGAAAGGGTCCTTGGATGGTGCATGATTGTCTAAACCTGTTTCTTAGACGTGGAGGGAGGACAGGAAGTCGGGTTGGCCGCTACTGGCCGGAGGTCCCACAGCGGGCCTCCATCCCTCCTCACTGCTAGGTGCAGCCTTAGAACGTGAGCGGCGGTGCCTGAGATGGTGTGTGTCCCATGGGTCTCAGCAGGCTGCACACCCCAGAGCTTTCTTCTTAAACTGGAAGAATTCTATGATAGGCATACTTTAAAATGTTAATTTCATCAACATTAAGGTTTTTCAAGGGTTGTGAAAACTGTCGTTAGAGTTAGATTTTTCCAAATGCTGTTCTTTGCTATGTAAATAGTTTGTATTTTGCTTTCATATAATTTCATCTTTTTATATATTTAAAAAAATTTTTAGCTTGCTTTCTGCCTCGATTATGAAATGATACATAAATGATCAGAATTTTTAAAATTTCAGTATTAGCGTGCCATCTGGACAGCAGCGGCATTTTTTAGAAGATTCTGCCCATTACATGTCGCTCTTCCAGGTGGCCGAGTGTCTGCCCTCAGTGTCATAGAGGACACAGCTTCTGGTAGTCGTGCAGACACCATGGGCCTTCCCGAGTGGCACTCACCGGTGACGAGGGTGTGGTAGCAGCTCACAGATGGGTGTTCCACACGGTGGGGATTCAGCACAAATGCACGTCCTAACGGTCACCATTTCGGTGTCTGACCAGCCTGCCTCTCAGTTTGACATGATGGCACTCTGCCTTAAGCGCTTGGCTGTAGTCTCCTCATAGTGAGACCAGGAGGGTAGTTGTATCTTTGTAGGTTTATCCTCTGAAGCCTCAAAGGTCTGTGTCTTTGGGACATCAGCATAGTCTCTGGGGTACTGGAAGGCAGTTTATAAGAAGCTTGGTTATTTTTTTCAGAATATAACAAAAAATGGTCCCGTAACAAGTGATGTCAAATGTGTTTCTACTTGTCAGGAGATTCTGAGTAAGACCTCCCCCGGCCGTTGTGGAGGGCGGCTCCCCTCGCCTGTCTGTGCCAAGAGCGGTGGTTATGGTTCAGGCCCTCTGAGATGAGTGCAGCCGCACACACACCGCGGTCTACACGGCGTGTCTGGGAGCTGGGACTCCGCAGGGCCCTGCTCACCTGGTCAGCCAGAAAAACATATTAGAACACACACACCCCGCTTAGAGCTCAGCCAATGAAGCTTGAGCCGAGTGGGGTTGAAACAGCTACTGTTAGTCTTGTGAATTAACTGCCACTTGTGTTTTGGGTTTGTTTCTCAAACACAGACCTGCGCTCGGCCCCTCCTGATGTCACCACTGGCCTCGTGCAGCATCGGCTCTGCGAACGCCCACAGCCAGGCTCCGTGAGAGGTGCCCCTCGGAGTGGCGGGAGCCTCCTGGACACGGCGGGCGGTGAGCATGCCTCCATTACCCTTTTGACACCGCAGGGCATGGGATATCCCCTGTGCTCGGACACCCCTTTAGTGCACTGGCTGCAGCCAGCCCGAGCCAGGCATCAGTCACAGTCACCCAGCTCACAGACACGGACCCATGTGCTCAGTGAGCGCTAGTGCAGAAAGCACCACGTGCGGGAGTAAGCGGGAATGTCTGCGTGGCCAGTGGGGACAAGGAGAGTGGGCGGGAGACAGCCTGCTGATGTCAGCTGTGTGCAGATGAGTTGCGGCTCTACGATGCTGTAGGAAACCCAGGAGTGTGGCCAGTCGCTTATCTGGACACAATGTGGCCGAACGGAGCCCTTCTCCACATGAGTGCACACCCGCTGGGCACACCTGCTGGCACAATGGTCCCCACAGGCTCGTGTCAGCAGCCCACGAGATGGTCCAGCAGCACGCATGATACCCACTGTGTGGACAGGGTGTTGGCACCATTTTCGTAGTGTCCTGGGTAATACCTTCTCCTTTTGAAACAGTTTCCAGTGTCTTTTACCAGACTCGTGAAGTTTTCTTGCCGATGTACCAGATTTGAATTGCAGAAAACTCCCGGGTGCATCGGAGAGAGGACTGAACGTGTGTTTTATCTCCTAAGCAGCAGGTCAAATTCTGTCGAAGTCTTTTAATGCCTTGTCCAGATGCAAAAGGAAAACACTGAGGCAATAGGAAGCAGGTTTTCCATTGGTTAGATAGGTTTTTATTTGATTCATTATTCTTTGTATTTAAAAAGAATTGATCTCTTAGTTGGGGTATAATTGACATGTAATCAACTGCGTATACTTCTGTGTGCCATGTGTAAGTTTTAGGGTGCATGTGTGCCACGAGAGCGCCTGTCTGTGGTCAGGCTGGGGCCACGCAGCCCCTGCCAGCCCTGCGTCCATCAGGACTCCCACCCGCCCTCTGGCTTCCACCGATTTAGCTCCTGACGCTGGATGAGTTCGCTTTTTCTAGATTCTACACCGGTGGAACCCGACAGCCTTCACTGGCTGGTGTCTGGCTCTGCCCCGGGCAGAGCTGCTTTGAGGTTTCGCTCTTGCGCGTGCCGTGGTCCTCTGCCTGGGAGGGACGGGCAGCTGTCCCCAGCTGGCTGTCCCCAGGTGGCGGCTGTCACAGAGAGCCGGATTGTATGCAGGGCCCTGCGTGGGCGCATGCCTTCATTTCCTCTGGGTCAATACCCAGGGGTCGCGTGGCTGGGTCATGTGGTAGGTTTGTGTTTACCTCTTTGGGGCTCTGCCAGACTCGCTTCCCCAGTGGTTGTGCCCGTTCGTTCTCGCCGCTGGCAATGGGGTTCCAGTTCCTCCACCTCTGCGCCCACAGTTGGTGCTGTTGCGTTTTAAAAATGTAACCATCCCAGCAGGTGTATAGAGGTGCCTCCTGGTTTCCATGTGCGTCTCCCTGATGACTGATGGTGGTGAGCACCTGCCTGCCTTCTCAGGTGCTAACCGGCCACCTGCTTGTCTTTTCGGAAGAATCTTTTGCATATTTTTTTAATGTGTTTATTTTCTTATTAAGATTTGAGAGTTTTTTATGTATGCTGGATATAAGTCCTTTATCAGGTTTATAAATTATATTTTCTCTCTGTGCTTGTGTTTTCTTTTTTAGTCTCTTTTGTGTTTTCAGTGCCTTTCAAAGAGTATAATTTTAAAATTTTGATGATATTTAGTTTACCAAGTTTTTCTTTTATGGATCCTACTTTTGTGTCATATCTAAGATATATTTACCTAACTCAAGGTCATAAGATTTTTTTCCTAGAATTTTATGGTTTTAGGTCTTACATTTAGGCGTAGGATCCATTTGAGTTAATTTTAGCATGAGCGCAAGGAATGGGTCAAGTTATTATCATTATCATCATTATTTTGCTGTTTGGATGTCCAGCTGTTCCAGCCTTACTTATTACAAAGACCATGTGTCCCCACTGAGTTTCTTGGGCATCTTTCATGAGAACCAGTCGGCCGTCCCTGAGAGGAGTCTGCTACTGGGTCTCTGTGCTGCCCCGTGGCTGTATTTGTCATGATTATTGTGGTTTTTATAATAAATCTTGAAATCGTGTAGTTTGTCTTCAACTCTGCCTTTCATTTTTAAATGTACTCTGGCTATTCCAGCTCCTTTGCATTGTGATATGTATTTTAAAATCAGTTTGTTAATTTTTACCCCAATTCCTGCTGGCTTTGATTGGTATTTCATTGAGTTTAGATCAACTGGGAGAGAATTGGTATCTTAACAGTATTATATACTTCGCTTGATAAAATACCAGATATCTCTCTATATTTTTAGCACTTACAAAAAAATCTTAACATATTTTATAGCTTTCAGAGCATAGGTTTTGCACATGTTTTGTTAAACTTATTCCAAACTGTTATTTTTTTGATGCTGTTGTAAATGGTATTTAAATTTTTTTCCAGTTGTTGCTTGTGTATAGAAATACAGTTGCTTTTTTATGTTGACTGTTTATCAGCTCTGATAGCTTTTTTGGTGGGTTCCTTAACATTTTTTCCACAGGCATGCATGATCATATTGTCTATGAATACAGTTGTACTTTTCTTTCCAAATCGTTTACCTGTAGGAACGTATGTTTTTCTGGTTTTACTGCAGTACCTTTCCAGGAGTGGCAGTTAGATGTGTTGAGAGTGGACATAACTTGCCTTGTTTCCAATTGTTGGGAGAAAGCATCCACTGTTCCATTTTTTAATTGTGAGGTCAACTGTGGGTTTTTCATAGATGTTCTTCATCAGTTTGAGGAAGTTCCCTTTTTCCCCTAATTTCCTGAAAGTTTTATCATGATTTTTGTTGAATGATTTTTTTTTACCTATTTAGCTTGTCTGGTTTCTCTCTTGCAGTGTGTTAAAATGGCCTAGGTGCCCTTTGGTTTGTGTGTGAGAACTCTGTGATGTGCACACAATGACAAAATCCCTGACAACACGTTTCTCAGAATGGACCCCGTCGTTCAGTGATGCATGGCTGTAGTTCTGATATTTGCCAGTTTGTTTATGTTCTGCATATCCGAAACTTAGGATGGGAAGAGGTTACAGCATCCTAAAACTTAAAGCAAGGGGAAATAAACATGACTGTATTTCCAAGAAATGCCATAGCCGCACTCAAAGGGTGGTGTGGGGAGAACTAACGTAGGTGGGTTACGGGCGCAATGTTGGCCAGTTCAGCCTCAGCCTTGGCCGAGGCTGATGGGAAGCAGAGCAAGCCATCCCCAGACCCTTGTGAGAGGGCAGGTTTTCGTAAGCTGTGGGTGGAGCAGATTGGAAATCACTCCATACACGGTAGTGTTGAGCAGAGGTGTTGATGTTGTTGAAAGAGGGACATCTAGATATGACTGGGAAAAGCAACAGAGGACCGTGTGGGCAAGACTGGGGTCGAGGTGCTGGCGTGGCCTCCTGGACTCCTAGGATGCGAATGTGGCCTGTGTGTGCACATGTGTGTATTGTCCATGTAGGTATGCATGTGTACCCAGGAACACAGAGTGTGTACACAGTGTACTGTTGTAGCTCCGTGTGTTGGAAGAAGCAAGGACATGGCAGTAGCAGTGAGCACCTGGTGATCACATCATGGTCTCTGCTTTCTGCCCTCTGGGGGCCACGGCTGTTTGGGGAGATGTATGAGCCCAGCACAGGGCCGGGGAGCGTAAAGGGACTGAACCATCTTACGACAGAACGTAAGGCAGTGCCTAAAAATGATGGGGCACACTACAGATGAACTTGCAGGGGTCTCGCCGGCTAACTTGGGACAGTTTGTGCATCAGATAGTTAAAACCGTCATGATTTCTAACCATTGGGAAAAGAGCCGTCCCTCAGTCCTTCCTGATGGGTGGGTAGGTGGGTGGGTGGATGGATGATAGATGGGTGGATTGATGGTTGATGGATGATGGATGATGGATGGATGGGTGAATGATGGATGATGGACGGACTGACAGACAGACAGATACTTGATAGACACACAGGATGCCAAGTGTTGACTGCTCCGTGTGAATGGAATGCTGAGGCTGGAAAATAACTTTGCCACCATTGCAGTAAAAATGGGTCTGGCAGGAATGGTCCGCGGCTGTTCAGTGCGGGGAGAAAGTCCCTGAGGTTAGGGTGCTGATGTGCTCTTGAAGTGTCTCCACACACAATGCTTAGTAGGTGCACAGGAAACAATAGTGGGGACGTAACAGAGAAGCCAGACGCGCTTTGGGTGATGAAATCAGCGTCCCCTCATGGGTCAGGACCTGGTATTCAGGTAGCATTTCAGCCAGGAATGCAGCACCTGAATTGAATCATGAGACAAGCTTATGAAACTCAACTTGGGGTATGTTCTGCTCAAGAAAAAGAAAGGTCTGTAGTCTTTCAAAATGTCAGTCGTAAAGGACAAAGAAATGTTCCAGGTAAAGGAGACCAAAGGGACGTGATGAGTAAATCAGTTCTTGAATCTACCCTGGTTCCCGTGTGGAGGAAGAACTTACTGTGTCAGTTGCCACCTGGCAGCCGGACGGTGGTATCTGGGGTCAGGCCTTGCCTACTCCTGCTGCACGGCGCTGCTCCCGGTGTTGCTCTTGGCCGGCTGTCCACATCCATCATCCTCAGAGCACTTATTACCACCCAGGTGTCCTTGTGCATTTGCAGGGGTTCACATTTTTGCTTGTTTTCATCCAGCAGGTGGTGAGCTATTTGAAGGAGACTCATGATCTGTGCTTTAACTGACGTTACTTCTCCTAGAACAGCATTTCTTAGTAATTATTGAGGACACCAGAGAGCTTTTGTGTATGTGGATTGTCTCTTCATATATGCCATATTAGAAATTAAAACTAAAGATTTTAAAAAATATTTATTCATTTAAAAATACAGTAAAACCTTGGATTGTGAGTGACTTGGTTTGCGAGTGTTCCGCAAGATGAGCAAACATTTCTAATACATTTTAACGTGGTAAATGAGTGATGTCTTGCAATACGAATAGTTTGTTTCTGGAACGAATTATGCTCACAAACCAAGGTATTACTGTAACAGTAATATGCTCATATCTTAACATAAATAGCACACATTTATGAAAAGAATTACAGTGAAAATTCAGGGGGCAGAATGGGCTTGTTTTCTGTTGTTGCCAGCCTGTGTCCTGGCTGGTGTAATAGCAGCAGGTGGGTCCTGTGTGTTGTCCCCCTTCAGTCAGGAGACACCGCATTCTATGGCCTCTGGAGAAGTGCAGTGTGCGCTTGTGGTCCGAGGAGCGTGCAAAGGGCAGATGGTGTCTTGACGTGACTCTGGAAGGACAGCTGGCCCTTGAACACCACAGGGGTCGGGGTGCCAACTCCCACACAGCCAAAAACCAGCGTATAACTGACTCCCCAAAACTTAGTTGTCTCTGGATACCCATGGAGGATTGGTTCCTGGACCCCCACGGATACTGAAATCCGAAATGCTCAGGTCTCCGTCTAAAGGGGCGTCGGTCACTGCACACAGTCTGCCCTCTACGTGCACACTCCCATTTCAGATGGAAACGGTGCAGTGTTTATTCTTAAAATCGTGTATAAGTGGACTTGCGCAGTTCAGACCATGTTGTCAAACCATGTCTAATCCCTGACCCAGGGATTAGAACAAGGTGTAGCTCCTGGAAGGTGCCCAGGAAATGTTTGGTGACCAGTTAATTCCAGAATGGCTGGTGAGGGGCCAATGCCTGCTGGCCTCACGTGTCCCATGTGTTCACGTAGGTGGGGGAGTGACTGCACAGCCTCAGCGCCCTCTTCCCCGTGACAGGTGTACCTGTGAACAGCAGAGTGTCCTCCAAGATCCAGCAGTTGCTGGACACCCTGAAGCGGCCGAAGCGCCCCCCGCTGAGGGAGTTCTTCCTGGACGATGCTGAGGAGGTGCTGGGAGGTGAGCGCCTGGTGGGCTCACGGGGGGCTGGGTGGGCGTCACACGGGGGCCGGTGCTACAACCTCAAGGCACGGAGAAGCCACTGTCCCTGTTGGCAGCTCTGGTTGCCATGTGGCGGTGACGGGGCATCGGGGCCACTGCCGGCTGAGTTGACCGTGTGGGAAGCTGGTTGCCCATGGTTATGGGTGCTGCTGCTCTGTGCTCCTGGTGCTCCATTCGCAGTTTGCAGGAAGGCTTTGGAGGTCTCACCATGTATATCGCTCACATTTTAGTTTAAGCTTCAAGTCCGAAAGACTTCCATTCCCATGGTTTTGAGGGATTATCTTTTCAGCATAGTTTTGGCCCCTTCTCAGAATGTTAGCCTCTTATTTATAAATGAGATCTATATTTAGAAGAAAAGAATATAGCTTCATCTTTTAAGATTACCAAGAAGCAGAGAAGTATAAGCCTGTGGATAAGGAGCAGAAATGAAGCACGAGATGCGAGCGGGGCAAACACCCGCCGCCGTCCCTCACACCTCCTCTGTGCCCTGTCACCTCCCCTGGGACCAGCCCCGGCTGTCCCCTCCACACTTGAGGATTAGACACGGCTCTCAGGGCATCGTTTTCCCTTTATAATCAGATAACACTCTTCAAATTCAGAGTTCAATCATACGAATGCTTTTGAGGTCAGTTTTTCTTATACTTGGGCAAATTTTGGTTACATATCCACTGGAAATACAAGATTTTACTTTATTTTTGTTGTTCGCCATGGTGATGGTTGTCCTTAGTACCCAAACCGAAGTGGTAGCTCCCCTCACTTTGATCCTTTGTAAGCAGGACCTGCTTCTCAGGTGTCGTCAGGGTCGGCTGTGCCCGGGAAGGTCCGCCGCACTGGGCATTGTTGTGCAGGTGACGGTTTGTCACCAGGATCTATCATCACCCGCGACTGAATCTGAATCCCCATTTGTCCTTTGGTCAGCTGGTGACTATCGTAACGATAGGAAAATCTAAACAAATTACTGTCGCCTTTTTATAGTTGGTAGTTCAAAAGACAAAGTTATAAAATAGGAATGCTTAAAAACAGAATATGTGTACAATGCTGCAGTATTGATTTTAAAATCCCGATTTTGCTTATAGTCCAGCAACCAGATCCAAACCGGCCAAAGCCTGAGGGAAGCCAGACAGCAGTGCTGAGAGGGGAGCCTCTGGCTACGGGGACACCCTGGCCACCGTCACTGCTTGCCGCTCTGCAGCGTTGGGGCACGACGCAGCCCCGAGCACCCTGCCTGACCGCCCTGGACACCGCTGGGAAAGCCATCCACACCCTCACCTACGGCAAGTGTCACCAGGATGCAGTTGGGAGCTGGTTTAGCTGTAAAATACTGCATGTGCCATCAGCCTGGACAGACAGCTGGAACAGCGTAGAGCATGCTCCTTGGACACTCAGCTGTCCAATAAACAGAGTGGCCCTCAACCCAGACACCATTCCCCAACAGGGCCACTCACTGGCTGAGGGTGACCAGCCACTGCTCTGGTTTCAGGTGCATTTCTGAACAGTGGCGTTCAGCTTGGTCTAATTTTGAACTTTGTACAAACAGAATCATACAGTGTGTTTTTTGTCTTGGGCATCTTTATGTAACACAAGCCGTAAGCATGTAGCTTGGTGCGTTCTCGCAGCATGAATACACTGCTGTGACGAGCTCCAGGTACCCAGGCCCTGTGTCACCTGCAGCACTCACGCCCTCCCACGCACAGGCAGGCTGTCGTGCTGACTGAGCACCGTGTCTTCACCTGGCTCTCAGTGTGACGTAAACGGGAGTATGGGACAGGCATTCTAGGGCTGTCATTGTGTTCTCAGTGTTGGGGAGTGTCTGCGGGGACATGTAGGCGGGTCCCACACTGGGGCTGCTGAGCACAGTGCTGTGGAATGGCCAAGGGGTGTCCGTGGCACGGACACCCCACCGACCGCTGTCCCCATTGTCCATGGTTTGTGTTTCCCGGCATGGATCTGGCCCAGCGCCACACCCTCGCTGACACTGGGTGTTGCCTATCTGTTTCCTTTCAGCCTTTGTGGCGAGTGTGCCGTGCTGTCATGCTGGGTGTGACGGCACTTCCCTCAGGACTCATGCTGCTTTCACGTGCTGTGGCTACTGAACATTCCGTCTTGGAACCGTCCAAACCTTCGGCTCCTGTTTCCATTCAGCTGCTAATGTTCTCTTCTTCGTTTTTTTAAAGATTTTTATTGGGGAATTGAGGGGATGGGAACAGTGCTGGGGAATTGGGGGAAGGGGAACAGATAAGTTGCTGTCGTTTTGTTCTTCATTCTAGTTGTGGAGGACGTTGCTTCACTGGCCCAAGTTGGCACCATCATTGTGCTCTTCCCGGGTGAGGCAGATCAGTCGCCGGCTTCTGGACAGCCGCTCACTGCGGCTGCTGGCCGCTCACGCTGGCTGCTGGCTACACACGGTAGCCCATGGCAACCCACTGCAGCAGGGGCTGCAGCCTACACCGTCGCCGGTGACTCACGGCAGCCCAGCTCCAGGTCGAGCTGTGGTTCAGCATCTTAGCTGTAGAGGGCGCAGCGTCACTGGCCCTCATATGTGGGATCCGAACCGGGGCCCTCTGGCGTCCCAAGCCAGCTCTTAACCATCGCGTCACTTGGCTGGCCCTGTTCTCTTCTTTACATGCTTCTTACCCGTCTTTTCAGATACTTGTTCCGCACGTACCTCCTTCCACTCTCTGGAGTGCCTTTGAGCACTTTTAATTGTGGCTTTAGATAAAAAAAGTGCTAACTAATGTAGCCCATTCATCCCCTTTATTACAGCGCTTTAGTCCTCAGTTTAGGAAGTCTTTGCCAAACCTAAGTTCACAAAGATACTCCTAACTTCTCATCAAAAGCTTGTTGTATTTCTCACCTTTAGGTGTTGTGATGCACCTACAGTGTAATTTGTGTGTGGTGTGACATTGGGGTCATTTTCTTCCCTTCTGAGTACTGTTACCCACTGTCATTTCCTGGAGAGCCAGACTTCCCCTGAAGTACTGCGTGGTCATGTACCAGGTGAAAAATAGACCTGGGCCTTGTTGCTGGTCTCTGTTTGTCACTGTTATGTGGCCCACACCCCAGAGTAACTGTGGCTTTTTGAATCTCCGTATTGTGTCCGGAAGTCCTGCGGCTCTGGTTGTCCCCTTAAGATTCTTTCTGTGTTCCAAGTCAGCTTTAGAATCAGCTTGTCAGCTTCCAGAAACATTCTCGCTGGGCCGTTGATTGGCACAGATGGGATCTGGGGTTCAATCTGAAGAGAAGTGATTCATGGCTGGAACAGCCCCCTTTCCTAAGGCTGCCTTTAACTTCTCTCAGTAATGTCTTACTTTTGAGTACAGAAGTCTTGAGCATCATTCATTGTTTATATTTTTTGTAATGGAATCATTAACAATTTTTTCTACTCATTTGTTGCTTGTATAGAGAAGTGCAATTGACTTGTTTAAATGGTGACTTTGTATCTAGTAATCTTGTGAAATTAACTTATTAATTCCTCCTTGTTTATTATTTGTCCATATATCTTTGGGACAGTCAGTGAACAGAGTCCTGCCCTGTGTGAACAATGACAGTGTCAGCTTGGCCTCGCCAAACCATGCACCTTTTGTTCCTTCTTCTGGCCTCGCTGCACGGGCTGGAACCCCCACTATGACGTGCGGCGGTGGCATTCTCACCTCCCCATCTTAGGTCAGGAACTGGGATGTTTACCGAAGTTTGTTTTCACTCGTTTTTATGATAGAAATTCTTTGTGTCAGCTTAAGGAAGTTCTCTTTGTATTCCTAAAAGTCGGCTAAAGATTTTCACCAGGGATTGGCATTGCATTTTATCAAATGCTTTTTCTGCTCTATCAAGATAATCATTGGGCCGGCCGAGTGGCGCGTTGGTTAGGAGTTGGCTTGGGATGCCAGCTCTGAGCAGCAGGGCCCCAGTTCGGATCCCACATGAGGGCCAGTGACACTGCACCCTCTACAGCTAAGATGGTGAACAACAGCTCGACCTGGAGCTGGGCTGCCGTGAGTTGCCCGGCGAAGTGGGGCTGGCCGGCAGTGGGCGTGTGCTTTTGTGAGCCGCCATGAGCAGCCATCCAATGGCCAGCAAGCAACTGCTTCACTGGAGAAGAGCGCAATGACAATACCAACATGGGCCAGTGAAGCGACGTCCTCCACAACTAGACTGAAGAACAAAAGGACAGCAACTTGTCTCTTCCCCTTCCCCGATTCCCCAACTCTGTTCCCCTCCCCCAGTTCCCCAATAAAATCTTAAAAAAAAATAAAATAAAGAGATAATCATAGGGTTTCTCCCCTTGCCCATTAATTTGATGAATTGCATTGATTAGTTTCCAAATGTTAAGCGGTCCTTGCATTCCTAGACTAATCAGATTTGCAGCTGTTGGTAAGGACCTCTGCATCTGTGTTCGTTACAGAGGTTGGTCTGTTATTCTTTCGGAAAGGACCTCACTGCCCACCTGCGAGGTTTGCTGACAGCCTCCGCCTGTTGACTCCAGCTTTCAGGTGTGGGCTGTGGGCACGCTGCATCCCGCAGTGAGGAGCAGGGCCCTGCATGTCTGCTCTGGTCCGGCCCGTGGGGTCTCCGGCTGGGTCTCAGGGGGCCGCTTTCCTTCACATTTTATCGTGCCTGCCTGCTGCCTTTCTCTGCATTTTTCGTCTGTGTTCATGTGTGCCCATCTGGTGATTTTAACGTCGGTGGCATGCTCTTGATTTCTCCCCTTGCCACACTGTACCCTCCTGCCGCCTGCATTCCCACCATGACTCTCCTTTGGGCCTGCAGGCTCCCTGTCTGTGTGGTCAGAGCCTGTGTGACCACAGTTTGTTTCATCTCATTTGTCAGCGCTCACTCACCTGCCATCAGCGCATCGGACCGTCTCACAGGAGAGATGCCACCATGGCTGCTCTGTTCATGTGGATGTGTCTTTTTCCCTCTGACTGCCTTTAAAAATGTCTTTCTTTGGCTTGCAGCTACCTAACTGTGATGTCCTTTAGAATTTTCCTGCTTGGGGTCCACAAGGCTGCTTGAATCTGTGGAATGCTGTCTTTCATCCGTTTGGGGAAAATTACAGGCATAAGCTAAGCTCTGAGTATTGCTTCTTCCCCATTTTCTCTCTCCTCTCCGTCTGGGACTCAGATAACATCTGTGTTATACCTTTCTAGGCCCCACATGCCTCTGATGTTCTCGTTTGTACGTACTTCAGGCTGGAGACTTCCCTTTCTTCCCAAACTTCTAGTCTTCTGTGAAACTCCTGATGAGTTCTCAGTTTTAGGCAGTGTCTTCTTGGTGTAGGAGTTTCATTTCCTCTTCTAATTCCTGTTCTGGCTCTCTGGGAGCACCCCGTCATCCCCTGCACTTTTGTCATCCTTGCCCCTGTTGCCTGGGATGCACACGTTCCCACGGTCACTGAACTCTCCATCCACAGCCCCAGTGTCGGCTCGCTGTGGCCAGTTCCTCTTGTCTGTACTTTCTTTTGGGGTGCTAGTACTTTTAAAATTGCATGTTGGATATTGAGTATAAAAAATTGTGGAGGCTCCAGATGACATCATCTCCCTTAAGAGAAGTTCCCCTCCCCCTCCTCCAGGCAGCTGGCATGGTGGCCCATCACTGCAGTCCAGACAAGGCCGGCTCAGCCCGCCCTTGGCCTCAGCACCTCCCTGTGCCTGGTTATTCTGTATGTCCCTTTCCTCTGGCCGGGTACCCAGTCATGGCTCCTGTCTCGTGTGACTACCTGAGAACCCCACGGGGCTTTTCCGAGGTTTCTGTGTGGGTTTTCCTGCTCCTGTTACACACAGTGCTGGGACTCAGCACGCTTCCCAGAGGAGGCTGGCTGGCTCTGCAAGGCTCGGGCGCTTCCTCGGGGCCCCAGCGGGAGCTCTCTGGGCACGAGCCTGTGACACCCTAGCTTTGGTAAGGACCTCGCAGAAGGTCAGCTCAGCTGCCCGGGGCCTTTCCTCTCAAGTCTTAACTCCGCAAGTTGTCTGTCTTTGGGGCTTCCAGCCGATGGTTTCTGCATTTCATCCAATGCTAAAGCATTTGGGTGCCAGTGCTGGTCTGCATTTAGCAATCCCTCCAACTTGGAAGTGGTCTCTTACCTGTCACTGTGGCTCATTCGTTCCTGTCAAGGAGTGCACATTCCACTGCGGATGGACACCAGGGTCGTTCCCACGGTCAGCCGTCACAGTCGCTGCTGCT